GTGTTGTTTCAATTGAAGGGTCGTTATACCAGGAGACAGTACCATGCTCTTTTAAATATTATAGAGAGTGTGAACACTGCAGACGTGGCAGCTAGAGCACGTTGTGCACAATGCTCCATCAGCCAGTGGTACCAAACAGTTCTGGTTCTCAGGACAGCCAGTGAGCTCAGTGCATGTAAGAGAGGTGGGGCTCGCCTCACCCTTTTTCCTCACCTGTAGCTGTGCTGCAGTATGAGCTCCCCTTGTTCACTGAGTTTCTTTAGGAATAAAGTGAACACTGTTCTCCAGTATACACTGGGGAACGCTGTTGTGTGAGGACCAATCTCAGTGTCCAGGGAATTTTCCCTCCAAATTCCATGCCTTTTTCCGAAAGGTCATTTTGAAAGTCAGGTCTGGGTTGTTGGTGACCACTTTTATTGATAGAAGGAGTATCAGACTCGTGGGGCTCCTATTTACATGGTCCTTACTCTGGAATTTAGAGTGCACCACTCATGATAGGAACATCCCGAGAAGGTGCAGACTGGAGTCCAGGATAATCATCCTGCCATCCTGTGACAGGGTAGCTCTTGGTGCAACAGTACTAGTCACCAAGGTACCGAGCACATGCAGGCAAGATCTGTAAGAGGCGATCATAGCTTTCTACCTGCTGCATATCCTGCCTGTGGGCAAGACAGCGTTTCATCACCAGGTGTAGTCTCGGGTTCCCCCAGCTCCTCAGTGTTGTGAGATTGCTCGCTCAACCCCCGTCCGGGAGCGAAATCCGTTAGACCGAATTTACCAGTTGTCCGTACTTGGCTGGAAACGTAAGGGTGAATGACCTACAACCCCTGTTTTGATGGCTGTGGAAGGACTAATGACATTAATTTGTAGCCGAAGCCTCTCTAGTCTTGCTCACTTGTCGTCTTGTCACCAAGGTCTTGCTGTGACTCGGAGTGAAGAGCGTGCGTTGTTCATCTCGAAGATGTGTGGTGTAGCGAGCCGGTTTACGTTCGCCTTTTCAGCTTTGGTTTGTTCGAAGTTTACGGTTCCGAAGTTAGGTCTGTATGAGGGCCGTGATCTATGCGGGGAGACCACTTGAGAAGTCTGACACAGTAAGTGGGTAGACGTTCTCCAACTGCAACAAGAGATCACCGATCTGACGTTACTGCATCACCACCTAGTCTTCAAGAAATTGGCTCGCTGACCCAGATGTCAGAACATATTGTGAGGTAATGTCCTAGAGACTTCTATCCTAGAGACCAGTTTGCCTTGAGGCGTTGTGTTGTATGACTTTGTGGCCCAATTTGTGTTTTCAGGGTTAGGACACCAATGGTCAGCGATGTACAGAAACTGCAGCCTACTCCCTACCACAGTCTTTTGACCTGGAAAATGAGACCCGGACAAAGATTATTTCGACTCCTAGTGTTATGTTTCTCTCCATTTAGAGCTTGAGAGTAGTTTACGGGTAAATGAGACAAGCTGGAGGCATTTCTAGCTACTCACTAGCCAGAGTCAGCTACACTCGAAGTGAGGACGTGTTAGTAGCAGCAGCCTCAAATGTAAAGAGCGATAAATGAGGCGCCGTTCAGGCAAATGGAGAAAAAAAGCAAAGAAGACAATGAGCCTCAGTGCTAGTGAAGACTAAGACCAGCCGATTGACAGAAGTTCTGACCTGAAGCAGTACCTGGTCAAGGATGATCTAAATGAGAGGTGTCCAGTTGGCGAGTCAGACCGAAGAGAGTCTTCTGAGAACGGTCAAGGTCACTTCCTGCCACAAAGTGTCACGAGCAAAACAGTGTCTCGTCTGATTTCGCACCATCTAGAGATTGTTTGTTTTAGTGGTGTGGGTGGTATGGGTAAATCTTTCTCATTGAGCCATCGAAGGCCTAGGTACAGTGCTAGTGGAATAGTGGAAGGCCTCCTTCTGTGGTATTGCAGCACCAACTGGGCTTGCTGCATTCAATGTCGGGTATCACTATGCACAGACCTCGTTCCGAATTCCTGGTTGAGCATCTCCAAAGCCACTAGCTATTGGCCAGGCCCTAAAACATTCCAGGAGTCATAGAGAGCACTCTCTCTGAGTGAATTGTTTTATTTATAGATGAGATTTCCATGGTTTCATATAAACCTGGGCTTTTTACAGCGATGAGATAGAGGATTGTTTTTGGTGGCAGTGGTGGTTTGGTCTCCGAACATTGCTGTTTGTAGGGTGCTCCTCCAACTCCACCGTCTTGGGAATCCTGTTTTTGACAGGTTGCCATTAAATCAATCTGTCCCTAGTGTGTGCAGGTGCCTCAATATTTTGGGAGATGTTGTTGTTACTATGATGAGTTGACTTCAATGAACGTCAGAAAAGTGATCCGTTCTCTCCATTGTTGGACTGTGTGAACGTGGTTGTCCAACCAAGGACTGTGAGTTTGTTGAACAGAGGGTCATTCCGGTGTCTATCTCAGCAGTTTTCTGGCTAAACAGTCTGCAGGAGCACTGGTTTGCTTATTTCCCAAGAAGCCTGTGTAACTAAATGCAAAATGCTCGCAAGATGCTTCCGAAGTACATGGACATTTATTGTACTGTGAGATTGACGAACGCAAGCAATGGAAGATGGACAGACGGTCACTTAGTCATTTGGATTAAACTGACGCTGACTGCAACATGGACGCTGGTTGGAGCCAAACTGTCTCTTTGCAGCGGCTGCCGATTTTGCTACGTTCGCACATTGACCCAGGCTGGGCTGGTTAAGGTGGTGCTATTGTACAGTGCTTTTTCATGCAGCCGCATGTGACTGTGCAGTTGTGATAATGTACCTGCTCCATGTAGCTGATAGGTCAGAAGCAGGTTCATGGTGATGAAGATTTCTGATGTGTATCGTAGACAATTCCTCTCATTTTAGCCATTGCGATTACCATCCCAGTGTCCAGGGTCTGTATCTCGACTGTGCCATAGTATGACCCTGTTACGAGGGATGGTTTCGTGAGGGATTGGCATATGTGGCTCTATCCAGGGTTAGGTCCTAGTGTGTCTGTTCCTAACAGCTTTTATCCCCGTCCATACTTTGGCTTAGTGTGAGTTCCTTGGGGGAGTCAACCGCCTCAGAAAACCATAGACTGATTTCCTCTGTATGCTCTATTACACAATCTCTAAGAAAGAGGAGCGTACTGGGTGTAGACGAAACTGTGTCCCAAGTGTAAAAAAGGTCCCGTCAAGGTCATCCATCACAAGGGACAAGGAAGACTGTTTATTCAGGTACAGAACACCTGCTGCGTACTCTTTCAATTTCACTCTGTAGAATGCCAGTGGCAGCAAAGTGCATGCCAACCTGGGCTCATATTGTACACAAAACAGTAAGCCAGGAGGACCCACTGTCCCCCCTCACACTCCAGACTGCATAGTGGTGATACGCTTACAGGGAGATGTAACTGCCTCTTTCGGCAGTCTCTTACTTCTGATAGGGTCTGAGGATCAGCATATTGGTGTACGATATGCTATCCTTGACCACCTGACAAAATGCCAATATTTCCTGGGGTTCCTGGGCCGCATCCACAGGCTATGACAGTTATATAGCTTCCACCGGTACTGGACCAGCGTGGACCTGTGGGACTGACATGGAGATGCTGCCTTGGCATACCTGCTCCATGACCGCTCTGTCTTCTCATACAGCCAGCAGTAGGGACAGTCGGCAGCGTACTCTCCTCATGATGTTGACAGACATTGACGGATGACATCACAAGCGGTCTATGTATTATTGCACACAGGAAACCACGTCAATGTTGTTGGTTCTATAATGGAAGTATAATGTAACCATGTGTGCTACACTAGACTATACATGACTCGGAGCATGTTCCATCTTCTTTACTCCCACAACCTCCCACAGTCTGACTGAGCGTTACATACTTACATGCAGGCTCCACACATTTTTATATGAGAGCAAGAGCGAAAGATGTAGGGATGATGTATATATTTGGTTTTGGCCGCAGCATACTCTTGTTGTAGCTATTCTTTTCAGAATAAGTATATACGCCATCCCTATCTTATACATCCCCCTTAATTTTGAAGAATGATTTTCCACTTCTACTAGTGATCAACACACCACACTGAGGATGCTCTTGACTGCTTCATTACCCTCGGCGGCGCGCATGCGCAGCGAGGTTACGGTAGTTGTCCGTAATTGTGTCATTTTTAAAGGTGAATTTTCGTATAACAACTGCGTTCAAAAAGTTATGCGCTGAAAAGCAGTCAACAAGCCAATATGCAAATTAGCGCAGGCTTACTCGACCGCGTCCGCTGCGCTCTTTGTATCTGCAGCACAGAGTCCACACGAAGGGCGTGTATCGACAACCCGCATGCTATCTACTATACCTAGCTTGTGTCAGACCTCGCGAGCTACTAGCGGGATACCACGGGTAAAGATATACAAGCCCAGCCCTCAATTAGTGCTACAGCGCATGCACAGTTCGCCGAGTTTTGCACTTTAGTGCTTTCATTACTAAGTATGCACTGTGTAATAATGACACTCAACCAGCAATGGAGTTAGTTACAAAAATAATTATTAACCCTCGGCGCGCATGCGCAGTGAGGGTTACGGTAGTTGGGTTTGTCTGTCTGTTTGTCTGTCTGTCTGTGTGTGTGTGTGTGTGTGTGTGTGTGGTGTCTGTCTGTTACTCGTCATCTCACTTCTCGAGTGTTCGTTCGTCTCACAAAGGATACCACCTACTGAACGGGCAATGAAGGTCAGAAAATATGTGGGGTTTTCTCTGAAACTGCTCCGTTGCAGAGCTAGAGCGCGAAAAAGCTAATATGCAAATAGGCAACGGACGGGACGGCTTACCACGGTCTGATCGATCCGCGTGCTCTGCGTACCTCAGAGGCACCAGAAGATGCAACGCAGGGCGTGTATCGCCTCTCGCATGCTATCTAGTAGTGTAGTTAGCCCGCGTCAGACTCTGCGCGAGCTGGAAGAGACCACAGTAACAGCTAAAACTAAACCCAGCCCATCAATTAGTGGTACGGCGCATGCGTTTACTTACGCGTGCGCGTCACAATGCGCCGAGGGTTTGCACTTCAGTGCTTTTCATTATACTCATTGACCATTCACTATTGAACACTCTAAGGCAGTAGCATTGGTTGCAGCTTTGGCCTCAGTACTACACCTTGGAGCGAGATCTTTGTAGAGGACAGCCAGTGCAACAAGCACTAACAGAATCGTTGCATTAGTTATTGATAGGGGGAGGAAGGTGTGCTTTCCAGTCTGTTCATAGCTTTCAACATCTGTATAACAAATCAACAAGACCATTGATAATAATCACACTGTTATAGGAAGCTACTTCACTATTCTGAAAGAACATTTGCTTTGTGGAATGAAAGATGTGCAAAGCCTTGGCACAAAACCAGCGGCAATGTGATAGTTTTAGCATGCAGTAATGCTTTTCATAGAATTTACGCAGTGAAAAAACCTAGCCGCAACAAACTAATTCACAGCATCAGTAATGCGTCCGGATTTTCAAGGACCACTAGACGGATGGCGAAATATTTTCCACACATGCATGTCTGTTAGGCTCACGTCACAGCTGTGACAAATAAGCATGCATGTCAATTTGTAACGAGAGACCTTGCCGCTGTAAAAACAACTGCTAGGCTTTCAGGTAATCATTACACTTCACTCTCTAGAAGAATGCTAAAAATATCCACCAGTTAAAATAAGCTAGTGTATCCTGATTCAAGTACTGCACCCTTCAATGTGCATTTGAGCCACAGGGTAATCAAAATCTTTACTGTAGCTGGGGTATATCATTACCATTAACATTCATAATATAATTATACATATCATTGGACATACTCACACCAGAGGGGTGTTACAGCTCTTGACAATGCCCCGCTGGTAATAGTGAGTACTGTTATACTTCCCTATAAAAGCAATACAAAATTAGCGATGTATTGTGAGGTGGTTTACCTGATTCTCAGCAGGAACTATGTCAGACAAGAGTGCAAAGTTGAATACATAAGCAAGAGTTGCTCCAACAGACAGAAACAGCACCCCAATATTGAACTGATAGAAATTGAGAAATGCTTGTTTGCTGAGGCAAGCATTATGGCAAGTGTGACAATGATCTCCAGTAACCCGAGACGAAGGGTTCCAGAAACATTCGTGATTGGAAGTACTCTTACCTTCGCAGTTGTCAATATTCCACTCAAATGTGCTATTGATGTGATCATTGATATTCTCAAATGAAGAAGTTATGTTATTACCATCCACCACATCAGTAGTTCCATTATCACCAGGTGATGGTAGGTAACAAGGGTTTTCCTTGTAATATAATACCTGCCAGTCACTAATCAGTGTATTTCCAATGACAATAGTCACCAGAGCAAATGCCATCATTACTCTATTATTGCATTTCAGTGCTTGTGAACAAAACCTGCAGCAAGTGTATACGACTTATAAAATATCTAAACTCCAAACAAACACACTTACTGAACAAAAGGTGAGGCTAACCCACCAACTGCTAGTGCAGTGAAGAACAGAGCTGTATTATCTACAGTAAAGCCAAACTGGTCGCTCAGAATGGGTGACACAAGTGTATATAGCAGAGCAAATGCCTGTCCTGTGACATATGCATTCGCAAACACAAATGCAACACCCTTTCACCAAAGTCAAGGAAGTAACAGGTATTAATTGGCAAGCAAACTGAGCCCACCTAGTCATCTAATAAAGGTACAGGCAGGTCACATTCCGTAATATTATACAATACGTGAAACATGTGAAAAATTAAATTGCTACCTTCATCGCCAACAAAGTGTTCAATCAGGTTCTGAGCAATAGGCTGTAGTGTAGCTATGCACTCTGCAATGTAGTTAATAAGATGTTGTTATAATTATAATTATACTTGTGGTCACTCTGTTTTGAGCCAATTATGCATTTAGTGGTTGCACCAGATGTAGTGATGCAGCTACATGACCAACACCCAGAGCACAGACCACCTTCTGGCAGAGATGCTTATGTGATAGGGCATACCCCTGTTACAGAAAGCGGTCAGTGGACGTGGTTGGCTACTAAGATATCCTAGCATAACTCTATGACTTGGATACTATTAGATAGCTCTTTGACTTGGACCTCATTTTCTGGAAATCACTCCAACCACTTTTCATGTCACATCTTGACTTGAACCTACAAGCCCAGGGCCTTGTCTCTGAGAAGAACAGAACCACTATGATTGCAGCAGTCACACCGAGAGCAGCCAGAAACCATCCGGGCAGACGATATGGGTTTACTGAAGGAATCCTAACCAGACCTGCATTTATGCCTTGTGAATAGGTGGAAATACCAGAGAACAGGGGAAAGGGATAGAAAGTGTATCATGGGTTGTAACATAAATGGCATTAGTAATATGTCATTGTATCGTGCATCATATCCGTAGATGTTCAGTGAGTTCTGGGCTTGTTGTGGAGGTGTGCGAGGATCATTGGCTGGCTAATAGGCTAAAAAGGCATTTAGCAGAAAGATGCAAACTAGTTATACATATGTAAGTTGGTGCAATACATCCAGTTTATGTTATACTACAGTGCCACTCTGTTATGAGCCATTCCCCAGAAACAGGCAATTACTTTATTGTGTGCAAGTTTACTTTGCTAAAAAGCGCAGTATATACAAGAAATGTACGTAAGTCAGATAAGTATATTTTTAACCTCACAATGTCCGTAATATCGTCTATCACTATCTTGCCCTACACTCCCATTATTGCCTCAGCCAAATGTTTTAAAACCGTTTTTTTCTGATTATTGTGCCAATAACACACTGTTGAAAAATCACATACCTGCCCACCTTCAGCAGTGACTAGTGGGGCACCAGAAACTAGGGAGCAACGTTCAGATTTTAGACGAACACATGCATGCGCAATTGTCGTGTTTGCTGCATAGCACGTAAACTAAGCTGTCAGCATTGTAATTACCCTCGGCGCGCATGCGCAGCGAGGGTACAGTACTTGGGTCTGTCTGTCTGTTTGTTTGTCTGTTATTCTATATCTCACTCCTGGAACGTCTGTTCGTCCCAGAAACGATACCATCTACCCAACGGGCGACGAAGGTCAGAAAATAAAGGCAGTTTTCTCTGAAAATGCTCCGTTGCAAAGCTAGAGCACGAAAAAGCCAATATGCAAATACGCAACGGCTTACCGGAGTACCCGAGCGGTCTGATCGATCCGCGTGCTCTGCGACCTCGGAGGCACCAGAAGATGCAACGCAGGGCGTGTATCGCCTCTCGCATGCTGTCTAGTAGTGTAGTTAGCCCACGTCAGACTCTGGCTAGAGACCAGCCAGAACTAAACCCAGCCCATCAATTAGTGATACAGCGCATGCGCTTACCCATGCGTGCCCGTCACAATGCGCCGAGGGTTTGCACTTCAGTGCTTTTCATTACTGCAGTAAGTGAATGAGGAGCATAAAGATCCGCCATGTTCGTGTAAAGAGCAAATTTTGTTTTCAGGGCATGATTGGTCACGCAACTCTGACCAGTGGGAGAAATTAGTGACTGCCAGGATAGCAGGCAGAACGTCGGGTTCATAGGTCATTGTCAGGACTGCCCTAACCATATGACACGGTTGGCAGGTATGGAGTCGCGCAAATACATAGTAAAACTATTTGCTAATGTTCTCACTCACCAAGCCAGCGTGGAAAGGGGAATCATGAGTTAAGAAAAGCTACAACCATAATCATAAGGTAGTCTGATGACATTCAAACTTACTGGTGCTTAACCACTACAGTAGACGCTCTATATAGGGATGACACGAGTGAAATCTCACGTGATCCGCCCTCAAAACTCAGCGAGAATGACTCACCATGGCTTCAAAATCACTAGCAATTTCATCTTCTTCTTCTTCTTCAGACCCGCTAGCTCTTTACCGGAAGCAGTTGAAGCGTTGATTTTTTCACAGAACGTCTCAAAATTTGCCGGAGGTGTGCACGCATATCAAGCGATCACTTGTTTCTTGCCGCAAGTCACTACGGTAGATCGTCACTGGACAACGCCATTTGCTGCTAACTCAGCATCAGTGAGCCGCATGCGCCGAGGAGGGCGTTTCCCCAACGCGCATTACGTGCGTGAACCAGGTCCATGAGACTAAGCCAGGATGCTTGCAGAGGAACTCTTATCCTCCAGTGCCTTCTGTAAGTCAGTAGCTATACACATTTTTAACTGGCTAGCTTGCGTTTTGCTGTTGATTTGTACGAGGAGCAACTTGGCAGTGTGCGCCGTGTTACGCGGGCCTTGCCCAGCGCCTTCATTGTTTGTCCCCCAGGTTATAGCTATCATTGTAGTCTGATTACTGAAGCCTGCCTATGAAACCACCCCACCATATATATGTGCCACAACCTAATTGCATCGTTGTTGGAGACGCTACGCATTCAGGTAGGAGCAGCCCATGTATCTCTACAACACCCATGAACATCAGAGTGACTGAAAATTCAGTGTTGTCATAAGGCAAGAAAAATAGTGGAAACAAGTGGAAAAATCATTTCTTCAAAATGAAGGGGGATATAGGGATGGCTTGAAGCACCAAAAAGGAAGAAAAAAGGGGTCATTACACAGCAAAGTTGCACAAAGCTACATGACACCATCCCTATACCTTTGCCTCACTGAAGGTATGAATGGGGGAAGAAGCGTTGCCAGTGTCTTTATCTTCCACAAAGACCAGGAGACTGTGCTCAGCTTTACTTTACTTGTGAACTATAACACAAAGATATAGGGATGGTGTCATGCAGCTTTGTGCATCTTTGCTGTGTAATGACCCCTTGTTTTCTCCTTTTTGGTGCTTCAAGCCATCCCTATATCCCCCTTCATTTTGAAGAAATGATTTTTCGACTTGTATTATACCCGGCAAACCAATGGACATACACAAACTCAGTCACACTATGTAGGTAAGTATATTAGCATTATTACCAAGTAAAACGATGTGGTATCCATGAGTGGTGAATGTGATTGCCAAGTACAAGGTGCCCTTCATTGGCTTTTTTCCCATCTTTAGTCGCTCCATATCCATAATAGAACCAATTTCTCCAGTATAGGTATAAATAATTGAAGATGCAAAAAGAGCCGCAGCACCCATTAGACCACGTGCAACAAAGACCATCCATATATGAGTGGCACATCCGTACACCACCCCAGCAACAGTGAACAGGGAAAATGTTAGTAGCATAAGAAGAGTGAATGGAAGTGAATCCATCATCAGCATTGGTAAGGGAAAAAGAACAGTTTCAAACAATGCGAACGACACTGATACTAAAGCGTAGTCTCGTTCAGTCCCATTCAATCCTGGCCAGAGTGTATTTGAGCCATTTTTCTGTAGAAATCACATACAACTAATGAGAGTACTAGAGTCTGTTCAATCTATGCTAGAAGTTAGCCATGCAGGTAAATATTAAGAACCTCGGTTCAGAAATTGTGTAAGCTTCAATGCACCAATTGCGTTGCTATTATTGATTGCTAATATAAAGTGTGCAGGCAATCACCCATAGCAAAGGCATTACGTGTCTAATAATGTGTCAGATGAAATGCACTAAAGTGCAAGCCCTCGGCGAACTGCGCATGTGCGGTACCGCTAATAGATGGGCTGGGCCTATTAGTATGTGTTACTCGTTGTCTCCTGCTAGTAGCTCGCAGAGAGTCTGATACGGGCTAGGTAGATAGCATGCGTGAGTTGATACACATCCTTCATTGTGACTTTGTGCCTCCGAGGTACACAGAGCAAGCGGATCAGGTCAAGGTTAAGCCAGTACTATTAGCATATTGGCTTGTTCACAGCACTTCTATATACGAAGATCGCTATTTTTTTAAATCGAGCCAGTGTGGAAATGAACCTGTTGGTATCACTATTTTGTTGTCTCGTTGTGCGTAGTGGCAGAAAACGTGGTAACAGACAGACAGACATACGGACGGACGGAATGACAAAGCAAGTACTGTATAACCCTCGCTGCGCGTGTGCGCTGAGGGTTAAAAATAAGCCACACCAAAGACAGCTCTTTTACTAAGAAAATATTAGGAAGCCTTTGTTGGATTGAAACCCACACAACACTCATACCTCTGCAATGCTGTCTGTTTACCTCCCAGACACCTACCTCACACCTGCCTGCCATTGCAATAATACGTAAGACTGGGACTGTTCAATACTTGGATTATCGCAATACATGACCTAACATTCCTCTTTGTGAACTCAAGAAGGGGATACAAACTTACATTCTAACTATTTTCCTGCAATGTCAACCGTGAGTCACACTTTTACACTCATTAGGCACTCCTTCATCCCTTCCTTTACTCCATGCCTACCCATCTCCTTGTTGAATACATGGGTCCCTAACCCGAACAAACACCATCACTAGTTACACACACAGTTCGATATTAGGAACCTAAAAACTACTGACCTTACTGACTCCCTAGCAAAACCAATTACTCACATCACACTTTAATCCATTACAGAGAGCATGCACCAAATGTTTCTGCTTCTGTAAACTGTACACCCATATATAAAAAGCTTTCCACCATCAATAGTAAATAATTATTTTAGCATTAACCACATCCTTGATAAATCTGTCATGCACAAAATAACTCTCAATTTCGTATTAAAAGGCGGGGCTTTACCCTCCCAACTCCCAAATGTTACCTCTGATTCTTCCGAAGAATCCTTAGCTGCAGTTACAAACTGGTATATTGATGGAGTAAACATGATGAAAACAGTGTAATTGAGACCTAACAATAATCCATAAATGATTAGCCAGTTGTGGCAAGGAAAGTCTCCTACAGTCTTTTTTCCTAAAAGGAAAACGTAACACTAAGTCACAACTGCAATTTAGCAAGAATAACAGTTACTGCACACAGATGGTCAGTAGATGCTTTATCTATCACTAAGCACAGTAGTACTTAGTACAAGTGGAAAAATCATTTCTTCAAAATGAAAGGGGGATATAGGGATGGTTTGAAGCACCAAAAAGGAAGAAACAAGGGGTTATTACACAGCAAAGATGCACAAAGCTACATGACACCATCCCTATATCTTTGTGTTATAGTTCACAAGTAAAGTAAAGCTGAGCACAGTCTCCTGGTCTTTGTGGAAGATAAAGACACTGGCAACGCTTCTTCCCCCATTCAGACCTTCAGTGAGACAAAGGTATAGGGATGGTGTCATGTAGCTTTGTGCAACTTTGCTGTGTAATGACCCCTTTTTTCTTCCTTTTTGGTGCTTCAAGCCATCCCTATATCCCCCTTCATTTTGAAGAAATGATTTTTCCACTTGTTTCCACTATTTTTCTTGCCTTATGACAACACTGAATTTTCAGTCACTCTGATGTTCATGGGTGTTGTAGAGATAACATGGGCTGCTCCTACCTGAATGCGTAGCGTCTCCAACAACGATGCAATTAGGTTGTGGCACATATATATGGTGGGGTGGTTTCATAGGCAGGCTTCAGTAATCAGACTACAATGATAGCTATAACCTGGGGGACAAAGAATGAAGGCGCTGTGCAAGGCCCGCGTAACACGGCGCACACTGCCAAGTTGCTCCTCGTGCAAATCAACAGCTAAACGCAAGCTAGCCAGTTAAAATGTGTATACTGACTTACAGAAGGCACTGGAGGATAAGAATTCCTCTGCAGGCTAGGCATCCTGGCTTAGTCTCGTGCACCAGGTTCACGCACGAAATGCGCGCGCACCGCATTGGGGAAACGCCCTCCTCGGCGCATGCGGCTCACTGATGCTGAGTTAGCAGCAAATGGCGTTGTTCAGTGACTACCGTGGAAGAGCTCAATGATCTACCGTAGTGACTTGCGGCAAGAAACAAGCGATCGCTTGATATGCGTGCACACCTCCGGAAAATTTGGAGACGTTCTGTGAAAAAACCAACGCTTCAACTGCTTCCGGTAAGGAGCTAGCGGGTCTGAAGAAGAAGAAGATGAAGAATATGATGATGATGATGATGATGACACGAAAATCGCGAAATCGCGTAAGTGCGAATTCTCTGGTGGGGAACTGAGGGCACGTAGGAAGTCTTGGGGCATATGTATAGCTAGGTATTGGCCTCTAGACTATTGCTAGTGATTTTGAAGCCATGGTGAGTCATTCTCGCTGAGTTTTGAGGCGTTTTGTACGCGGATCACGTGAGATTTCACTCGTGTCATCCCTATATAGAGCGCCTACCGACGCTCTGATATAGGGATTGGCATGGTACCTAGCATCATAATCTATGGGGCTATGATAGGGAGTTTTGTTCATCTTCTCCTTCTTCTCCTTCTTCTTCAGAGCGTAACTCAAAAACTAAATATGATAGAGTAATGTAATTTTGTAAGAATATAGATAGCTATCTGTCATCAAAAGAGGCTGGTCATACTTATTTGTTTGTAAACAACATTATTTACTGTAAAGAGTCCCAGGCAATACATTATAATGGGATCATATGTGTCAGTGTAACTTGTAACTTGCAAATGGTAGCTAAGAGGTATGTGAACGAAACTTTTTATACATAATTTATTCAAACATCAAAATCACATGGTTGTAAACAACAACAACAAAATAGCCTCAGGCACTTTTGAGGTTATGGTTTTGGAGTGAGTTATTATAGCCCTCCAATCATCAGCAAATCCCATCATACATATGTATGGGCCTTGTCTATAACCTGCAGTATGCCACCCACAGAGTGTATAAAATCATGCTATCACTAACTCTGGGTGATTGCTGCAGGCTGTTTTGTATGTATAATTAACACCTTTGGTGTCTAATCCCAATCGCCTCCTCTCTGACTGTTAATTCCTGTCAGGGGCACCATAAGGGTGTCCTTGCCCAAGTTTTGATGCTTATAAACGTCCTGTTAGAAATCCCACTTTGGTTCTTAGTGACACCTTTGAGGGCAAATTAAGAAAAATGGGGCATAGTATACAATTAGTTCAGCATCAAGTGTGACTATTCAGACACATTAATGCATGACAACGACTTAAACTACCTCGGGCTTTTGCTTAGCTACATATGACAGATTTCCAGAAAAAAATATTGTTCCCTTTGCCTCGTTTATGATTATGGAAGATTTGGTTCAATCCTCATCTATTACGTTACTAATAGCTAGTGGAGCTACCACACAATCAGTTGTTTAAAAACCCTCAAGAACATTTATAAAGTGCAAGTGTGATAGCTACAATGTGATATTGCTAGCTAACTGTACAGTGCCCTTCTCCCTTCGAAGCAAAACTGCTTGCTAACGTTACATTTACACTCTCAAAACACCAAGGGCAAATGTCAGGTTATTCAACTGTGGTAAGAAACATGAACTGGGAGTGAAGCAATACTTGGCAGTCCATGTTATACTGTATTGTAGGTTCCTAGATTTTTTTATTGAGAAGATGGATGAGATGGAGGGCCTCCTTTAATACAATACAGCCCCTCATAAAGTTCAACTGCAAAACTGAGACATTCTGGCATGCTAGACACTCTTGCATTTGTCTACATAATTTATGCTCTACACGTGCCTTCTAATCCAGCAAAGAACATATAGGAAATGGAGAGAATTCTATCACCTCCAAGCCTAAGCGCTGCCTGTGTTCCTATCCCATTGAATCTTTAAAATTGTAACAACAAAAATAGTTTTAATGGGATCGCACATTATATATACTAGGGTAGGAGGTGGAGAGAAAGTAATAATGAATGAAGAAAATGTATGTATCGGCTGCAGACACCTTTCCTTTCAGAGCTACTGGCAAACATGCTGGTCCAGGATTGGTAAAGGCTTCAGTTGTCGTAAGCATACACTTGCTACATGCGGACAATGATGAACTCTGTTCCTTATTGCTACACTGCATGGAAATGCCATAATTAAGCAGGTTTCCTCATTCATTGCTTCGTGTTGTTTCCAATGGATCTTGATTCTATCCTGTTTCAAAAACTTGTTTTGTGCAATCTCATACCTGTTCAAGCCTGAAATCAACGCCAAGTGATGGAGACTGAGTACACTGTCAACGTAGAGAATTTCAGAGTGTGGTGGCACTCGCTTTCGACTTTCACTACTTCAAATGTTGTTTGAACTACTTTAACAAGCGCAAGGGTTGACATGTGCAGGTGTGCGCCTGCCCCAAATTGCAGTATCAGGATTGACAGTGGTGGAGTGATTCGCTCTTCGATCACACCCACCAATCCTGTTAGATGGCCTTCGACTCATCTTTTCAGATCAGTGTGACTTGTATGGGTGGTAAAGGATACAGACTCCACGGAAGGAGTCTTTCACCAACATGAAACCCTCTTGCAGTGGCAAAATGGTTTTAACATAACTGGGGAAACCCCATCCATGACTCCCTCTCTGATTAAACAATGGATGGCTAAGCTGAACCTAAACAATGAAAAGCACTGAAGTGCAAACCCTCGGCGCATTGTGACGCGCACGCGTGAGTAAACGCCTGCGCTGTATCACTAATTGCTGGCTGGGTTTTAGTTTTAGCTGTACTCGTGGTCTCTTGCCAGCTCGCGCAGAGTCTGACGCGGGCTAACTACACTATACTAGATAGCATGCGAGAGGCGATACACGCCCTGCGTTGCATCTTCTGGTCGAGGTATATACGCAGTTCAGAGTGTGGTGGCACTCACTTTGACTTTCACTACTTCAAATGTTGATTGAACCACTTTAACAAGTGCAAGGGTTGACATGTGCATGTGTGCGCCTGCCCCAAATTGCAGTATCAGGATTGACAGTGGTGGAGAGTGATTCGCTCTCTAAATCTTTTTAGATCACACCCACCCATCCTGTTATCTTTCAGATCGGTGTGACTTGTATGAGTGGTAAAGGATACAGACTCCACGGAAGGAGTCTTTCACCAACATGAAACCCTCTTGCAGTGGCGAAATGGTTTTAACATGACTGGGGAAACCCCATCCATGACTCCCTCTCTGATTAAAAAATGGATGAGTTGAAACTAAGCAGAACCTAAACAATAACTCCCTAAAGTAAAGGGGTATGCTACTGTGGGCACATAGCCAGACATCTGCCAACCTATACAATTATTACACTACAGGTGGTGGTGGTACAAAACCAATCTAGAGCCTTCCCTGCAGCAGAGATCACGTTTGGCATTTCAACACGTCCTGAGCCAAGCCGTTCCCAAAAAGTTTCAATAGAGCTGGCGAATTGGACAAAAAGGCCTAAGCGCTATAGCTAAAATAAAGAGACATGAAGACACGATCAATACGAGACTTACTTCTTATGCACACGCACATTCTTAGACAGTCTCAGTGTCCAGAGGACGGGACAACTGGTTGCAAATTGACGACGGACCCTCACTACTCCCTAGACGGCCATAACAATATCGGAACAACGGGATTGGGTTCCTTCGCTTTATTGTCTATGGTAGAGCAACCCGCTAAACTAGTTCATCCGGCATAGCTAGATCTAGCTAAACCTGTATAATACGGATTCTGGCCAGCTCGCTAAGTGTCTTCCAGCCTCAAGGTTCAAGGTTCAAACCCCCAGCCACGGTCAGAGGAGGTCGGACATGCGCAGGGATTGCGTCATTGTAAATGACATTTATGCTGACACAGCAATTTCTTTCCCATAAAGAATGTAAAGAGCAAAAACAAGCGGGATTTAGAGAGGATTTGCAACTGAATCGATGTAATATGTAAGAAAGATCCTATTATCCTCAGCGATCCCCTACCGCTCGGCAAGATATAGTGAAGAATACTAATAACTCTGTCACACACTCACAGCGTGAGCCCTAGAGCTAAGTTAAATGCACAGTACCTTACTTTGATCCTTTTACAACTCTCCGTGTGGTTTCAAGCGAATGCTCCGTCTGTTTTGTCAAAAAACTAAGCATAGGTCGAGCAAGTCGTCGAAGGTCGTGCATTCCTCAACGCGCTAATTGAAATTCCTGTACCATTCACGTGACCGTGTCCGACCTCCTGTGGTGACGTATGGACGGTGTGGTTTATGGAACCCCGTTTCCGCCAAAAGTATTATAGCTCTCTGCCTGTCAAAAATCGATTTTTCCAAATCAATCACGTACTCGATTTTTGGTCGGAAATCGATTTACAAATCGATCACGTAGAGTCAGTGGGCTAGGTATCCGAGAAATCTCGGTCCTCCCTTACACACAAACAATTTTATGAACGATGGAAGTGAACGTCCGATAAACCCAGAGATCGGGAAAGGTTACCAATTTCTGGACGCTCGCCACCAACACTTTGATAGAGGACGGAGGAGATTCCAAGGCTAGTGCACATGTAAAGTATGGGAGGTGATTCGTGCCAAAATTCGACGATGTGACGAACCCGTTTTGTTCGTCTGGAGGAGGCGTGATTCGTCGAGCGGAGGCGCGTTTTTACGAGTGGAGAGGTGTTCGTCGAGCGGAGGCGCGTTTTACGAGTGGAGTGGCGTGTCTCGTCGGGAGGCAAGTTTTTTTCAAGTGGAGAGGCGTGTCAAGTCGAGAGGAGGACGTGTGGAGAGGCGTGTCTCCACCGTCGGGTTCCCAGAACCGCCCGCGTGAGCTCGGTGAGTGAAAGGGCAAAGACGGCGTTAATGCGCCGCATAAACTGCGCTGAACGAGACCGCCTTCTCCACACTTTCGCGCTCCTCTCCACTTCAAAAAACTTGCTCTCCTCTCGACGAGACGCGCCACTACACTCGTACAAACGCGCCTCCTCTCGACTTGACACCGCTCTCCACTGACTTGCCTCCTCTCGACGAGACACGCTCTCACTCGTAAAAACGCGCCTCCCGCTCGACGATCACGCCTCCTCCAGACGAACAAAACGGGTTCCAGAGGACTGTGACTAATGGTTGGTAGGAGGTTTTGTCGACGTCACCCCAATCTGTTCCCTTAGAGTGCAGCTCCATTGTCTCTGGTAAGAGCCAGGCTCAGACACAGCAATGGTTCATCGATACTTCGATCTGCTAGAGCGTACGCTAGAGGGAAAATGAGTGTTGACAGACCATCTGGGTAGATTTCAACATGGATGAGAGTGGCATGCCACTTGACACGAAGGACGCAAAGGTTGTGTGCAGAACGAGAGGGTAGGTCAGTACTACGGTTGGGTCAGGGCACAAGGTCCATCCTAGTAACAATAGTACGGTTGGTGTCTGTAGTGCCTCACTCGAGCGTCTCTCACTTACACATGGTCATCTGGGACCATACGACACTTGCACCAGACATACATCATTGGTGAGGTCCCAGGCACAAGATATGGACCTTCGGGCAATGGGTTGGCAATGCGGTTTGATGCATGGAGCTTTTCCACATGTGGTTCTGTAACCGTTTTTGGAGGTACGCCTTCAGTCGACCCCTTCTCTTACTGATGGAGGGCACTCCTCACACTACTTCCCTGACACATTCGTCTGCCGGCAAGTGACAGGGTTCTTTCACATTGCTCCGACACACCACCCACTCCACCTGTTGCATCGCCCTTCCTGCTCTGTCTCTAGTGTTTTTCTCTTGTTGTGTTCGGACCACTCACTTAGATGCATGGCGGGACGACATGTGTCACTCTAGTACATGACGCTTCCTCCTTTAGGTAGTCTACCGCCCCTAGTGGAAGGTTGTACAACATTTCATTTCTCAACCACTTTCAGCGAGCCTGGAGCAGAAGTATGACGATGGCAAATGTCCACCGCTGGCTCCGCGTTACGGCATTATCCGCTAATCGGATGTGCTCTCTGGACACTCGGTTGCAAAGTTGCCAAGAAGAAGCAGGTCTCTTCCCACCGATGCATAGCCTGCATGTGCAGTCAAAAAAGCGAGTGCCTTGGTTTTTCAGATGCTTGTGTAGTATTATCTCTTATGTCTTATTGTAATCAGGCGGTTCTGCGAAGGCTATAAATTGATTACTGGCGCTTCTCTCTTTTCCTCTTTCCTTCCCTCCTCCCCTCTGTTTTTTTTCCCTTCCTTCCTTCCTTCCTTCTTCTCTGACCGCAGTAGTGTACTCTCTTCAACTTCTCCTTTGGGCCTTTTTGTTGGTTTGTGCGGTGTGTGGTGTGGGCTTGTATACTTCTGTTCTTGTGTGAGGTTGAGCTCACTTTACCCCTGAGTCAAGTATGACAGAAATTTGCCATAAATGCACTGGCAGTCAGCAGCTTCCTTAGTTACCCCTCACCACCAGCTAGGGCTGAAACATTGAAGCCAAAGTCTAGTGGAAGAGTGCTAACCAGCACTGAAAACTTAGCTCTGGTGAAAGAAAAAGAGAGGCAGAAGGAAGAGAAGCAAAGAAAGGAGGAGGAGAGGGAAAGAAAAAAGAAGGAGAGAGAAGAAGCTAAATATAGAGACACCATGAAAGTCTCGCTAGGTAAGAATGGCTACATTGACAGTGGTTTTAACAGCTTAGTGTGATAGCCCTTCTAGTCACTGGTGCAAATATTAAATTACGTGTATTGCACTTGCAGGACAGAAGAAGTCTGGAGTATGTAGAAAGCTGGCAGGTACATACAAAAAGCGGATGATTTGGTGTGTGGGGGTGTATACCCACTGTGTATATTTACTACCATGAGCCATTTGCGCTGAAGCACACTGCAACATGCACTGATGTGTGTCCAGGATTGAGACGTTGCAGACAAAGTATATACTCCTGTGACAGAGACCTTCCATCTACCACATATATCAACACTTGACTCAGGTACTACATAGCATAGAGAAACAACTGTCAGATTGCCAAATTTTAACCTCTAAATTATTTTCCTGCAGATATTGAAGACAGTGACGATGACTGGAGGTGTCTCTCAAGGCTACATGTCCCAGACCAAGGTTATTACATGTTCAGGACATCCAGGTTTGGTGGATACTCTAGACGTATTGACACATGTTTTACACATCTATCTATCCCCAACACTAGGAACTAGACTGCAGTCAGCTGCTGCTCTGTCAGACAGCGAATCAAGACTGAAATGTTCAGCGTTCTGCTGATATATAGCTCTATCTACCATATTCGGACCGACTATGATTTCCTCCTGGTCAAGTTGTTTCGTACTGACGGTGGTCTGGCCCAGGTACTGAGAGAGGTCCACCTACTGAGACTACTGAAGGACCTGAATAATGAAGAACTAGCAAGTGTCAGCAGCCACATTACCAATACAACTAAGAGAAGTATGTCATGTCTTGGTAACAAAGAAAGAGTGTGTGATTGTGTAATTGCGTGCAGAAGCAAAAAGGACCAGGGGAGAGTGCATCATTTACACCTTAGTGTTATTGTGGGCAAAACCTCTTACAGTGGTTTGTTGAAAAAGTAAAAACAAACCACATCCTGTTCCTCTGTAGGGAAAGTGAGCACCAGGATTGTGAAGGATAGTGATCTTGGCTGGAGTGAAATCAAGGTTGAGGATAAACATGTTGCGCTGCCCCTTGACACAGTGAGCTGGACATACATACTTGCAGTTGTACGTACTGTTAAACTCCCTGTTATAGGAGGTACATAACTTATGCCTGTGGGCTAAAGGCACTCACACCAAACTAGTCAAAAGTAGCTGCTGCTGTGTTAAGATTGAGGATTGGCCTTCACTAGAAACTATAGCACTCTGAAGGCCGGAGAGAGAGGAGAGGTAATAAGCGTGCAAGGCATTGCTTTCAACAGTGTAGCTGCAGGAATCCCATGCGTGTGTGTGCATGCATGCGTGTGTGTGTGTGTGCATTCAGTCGCTCCTCAAATGTATAAACCTATGGCAGATACCTTGGATGTAACTACTGGTCCGCTTACTTCATAGCACTGCAAGACTTTTTTATTGTGTCGGTGGACTAACATTGTGCACTACCAAATGCTGTTGCTTCATCCTTTCTCCCCTTACCAGCTATTGTTTAGTATGTTGTGTTGATTAGACATAGGAGTCAGTGTTTATCCTCCTTCATTTTCCTATTCCCCTCCTATTCCCAACTTCCAACTGCTACCACCAACTATCTGGGGAGTAGTGATTGGCATGTGTTCTTTCTGCGATGGCAGCAAGATAAGGAAGCCCGCAGGATACGATCCAAACAAAGTTCTCTGTGGTGCTCTATGTGAATTGGTTTTGCTGGTGCCCTAGCCAGAGTGTTCCAGAGGGTGAGTATGGTTTCAAACTTAGAAAGTTTCAATTCAGGTCTCGACTATATTGTAATAGGATTGTACCCCCTGTGCTTTCACAAATTAGTAATGTGTGTGTCTGTGTTTACTGTGTGTTCATGTTTACTAAACGAAGGTCACAAAAGAACAGAAATGTGCTGTATGGAAACAGGGTCATGGGGCTACAATGTATGGCACACCTTACAATCTGGATGACGTTATAATCACGTTTGTGTGATTCAAAGTTCGCACTGTATTGACTGCCCATGTCCTCCAAAACAATAGTTACATTGCTGGTGTATATTTCATACAGGCGGCAGTGATCAACTTTAGCAAGTCTTACACTGACTATGAGAACCCGGTAAGTGTCAATGTACTGAGCCCTGCCCTTGTCAGTATCACTGCGCCCCATGATATTGTTATGGCTGAGCGCACACTCGAGATAACGGTGGTAAGTGTTTGGGTTAATGTATCACATATATGTAGCGTGGCGGCTATCTCGCCATTGCACGGCTTCGGGATCAGTGCTCGGGTCACAAGTCTCTCTTTCCTTGTCACTGCACAATGTAGCTATGTAGGTTTCTGTAACTGCTACACATATATATCTCCGTAATCACCTTGTCGTCTTCTCCACAGTGGACAAACATGACTAACATGACAGTGGTCATGTCATGTATCTGCTCACCTATAAAATGCCTAGGCTAGCCCTGAGAAATGGCCCACGATCTTATTGCACCAGACTGCTAATAACCAGTGCCCGTTTCGAGGCCACGTTCTACACATGCAACTGATAATTATGTAGCTCTGTGCATAGTGAATTGACTATTAGTGTTAGTAAACGGCGAACTCTTCTTTTAATTCATTTTCTTACATTTTACTATAGACATGTCGTTTCAAAGATCATACTCTCTTTACCTTGCACGGACTTTAGTGTACACCCTGCGTTTTTGATAATCTATTAGCCTGTAGAGGGAATATGCCAGTGGGGCATGAGGTCGGTCAAAAGTACGTACGTGCATCACATGGAGTTACTTTTCCCAGGACATAACTCAAATGACTAACTGATTCTTATTTGTACCAGAGTGAGTGAAAGAGATTTCAGTCCTCTCACTAGGACCTTCTTCAGGGATGAGTACAAAAACAGAGCTGAGCGTAGATCTAAATACAGTGTGGGTTACAAGAAAAACGAACAAGTTATTGCAATAGGGGATCCTACATACCATGTCAAGACTATAGTTACCACTATATTGGGGAGACAGGTCTACGTCTGTCAACTAGGGTTAAACAGCACAAAGACGCTGTCAGGAAGGGAGAAACGGAGAAGTCGACTATAGCGAAACATGTCTGGACCACGCAACATACTATAAACTGGGACAACATCTCTGTTGTAGATAAGAACAAGGATTCCATCCCCAGGAAGATCAGAGAGGCCCTACACATCAGACGACATGGAGGGAGATTGATATACAGAGACAGTGGTCTGGAGGTTTCTTGTGTGTGGGATCGCCTCTCGCAATAACTTGTTCGTTTGTCTTGTAACCCACAACCTTACCTTGCACTGACTATACCCCTGCATTATATGATAATCTATTAGGCTGTATAGGGAATTATAGCAGTGGGGAATGAGGTTGGTGAAAATTACTATGTGCATCACTTATAGCTATTTTCCAAGAACAAAATTATCCCAAACTGTTCTAACGATTTGTCCTGGCTCATCTATGCACAAAAATCAACTGGTGACTATAGAGATCATAGCATCTCTGATACAGGCCTATAGGGAATTCCCCTCCACAAGTTTGCCTGTGTTATTGTGGTCGTGGAGTCTTTATCTGTGGTTCATCTATGGTGCTGTGTTTTCCCTCAATAGGAATCAAAGATCATTGATCAGCAAAGTGCTTCCGATAGGGTGAGTGTATATGTTGGGACAAACTATTGTGTGATTGTCTCCATCTTAATTTTAGTTCTTTGACTTTGTTGAGGAGATATGGCAGCCCGGCACCATCTACCACAGACGCCAGAACGAGATTAAGAAAGCGACAGGAGAACCAGCATCCGAGTTTAACCCTCGCTTGTTTCGTACTGACTACATAGTCATTGGACCTACTTGCTCAGATCTGCAACGAGACACTGGTACGCACATGTAATGAGGGAGGGTGAAGGTTAGGCAGCCCTTGCCATGGCTAATGGGTACTATATAGAGGTGGAGGACTAGGGTGAAGGGGGGAATTTGGGTTCCCCCTCATTCAACACATTAGCCCCCCTCCCCCATGATAATTCAAAGATGAGGGGTAGACTTTGTGCTAGTGTAGTTGCACTGTTTACCTTGCCTTTGCCTTGTTAACACATTCTTAGTTTGGAGTTGGGTAGCTATCTAATGTTTATACATACTCAGTGAGCGTTTACCTTGAGCAATACCTTTGTATTGTCACTCTATATACAACTAGTTTCACTCACCAATACCGAAAGGTCTGCAATAATTTTTTTATCACCTGCAGTGAACATGTTTTTGGACAGAAAACAGCCGCGCTTTATATCAACTGATGCTGTGTTGCTAACCATTACACCCATGGAGATTTCTGGGGTGAAAGTGAACCAAAAGCAGTTTTGTCCTCATTATGAACCGTACATGTAAGTCTATACACTAGTCTAGCTACCAATAATTGGCATGGGCCCTCTATAACAAAAACCTCTCATTAGGACACTAAGAGTTGCCCCCTTTAATTTTGCTGTTAAGAGATTATAGTACAGTAGTTTGATGAATGGTGTAGCATCCTAGAATAAAAAAACTGGTCTAACATCAAACTAGTCGAGGTAGTCGAGCTAGTGAGTGTCATGGCTACCACTACGTGATTGACTCAAACTGGAATATGTAAAGTCTCTGGGTTCCAGGACACCAACTGATTACAGGTACTAACGTAATGTACCAGTGTATCTTCAAAATCTAGTGGGATCTGCAATGGGAGCACCTTAGAGGAAGACATGACACTATCACTATGGTTTGACCTATAGGAGAGTCTACACAACACACCTGACACCTTAAACCTTAAACTCAAAGTCGTTAATGTGGGTATTGTGCATTTATGACTGTGTCTACTGTGCATTTGCAGTTCGTACTACGATTCTGATTTCAAGGCAACAATAGTATACACCCTCGGCGTATATGCGCAGCAGGGTGACAGTACTTGCTCTGTCTGGCTGTCTGCCAGTCGGTCTGTCTGTCTGTCTGTCTGCTGTCTATTGGTCTGCTTGTCTGTCGACGCTCATGCTGGCACTAAAGGCTATGAGGCAGCCTATGAGCAATACCAACGAATTCAGAACCATGCAAGCCTGAAAACTAAAGTCCAGATTTTCCTGAAAGGACTGTGTTCGAGAGATATGCCGTCAAAATGCATAACCGCACTTGGCTAACCTAGACCTGATCCCCTTGCTCTGCATACCTTGGAGGCACAAGAAGGCGCAACAAAGAGTTTCTGTAGACTCCCGTATGCTTTCTCCTACTATATAGCAAGCCCGTGTCAGACCCCACGCAAGCTACTAGCGGGAAACCACGAATAAACGCATACTAATAGCCAAGCCCATCTATTAGCGGTACCGGCATGCGCGGAGTGCCGAGGGTTTGCACTTTACTGCATTTTATTTTTCCAGGTTCATAAAGAGGCAGAGAAATAAGCACAGCTCAGCTGATGATGGCGAAGGAGCTTGTTTTGTCGAAGTGGAGGAGGAGGAAGAGGGGAAGGGGCATAGTTCTGCTACTGACGGTGAATAATTATGGTGAAAATGGTGTGGAATTAATTTTGAAAACATGGAACACAACAAGCCTGATTCACTTGAGTCTGTTTACGTCCAAACTTATACCAGTAGATGCCAAGGCCAGTACCACACGGCAACCTCCCACCACCGAGACCAGTCCCACACAGGACAAAACTGGCAGCACCGAGACCAGTACATAACTGTTGCATGCAGAATGCATATACGTTCGTAAGATGTTGTGTAATGTAACCTGTATGTAAAAAATGTATGTACTTGTATAAGATCTACATGCAGTCATGATCATTATGGAAAACTGAGCAGTGTGGTAAAGGACAGTATGCCAAGGGTAATTGCCAATGCCCACACAGTATTATAAGCATAAACAGCTACATACTATCCAAACTAACACCTCTCTGGAGTGTGACCCTCCATAATTTGTGTACTATGTTTTCCATGTGCAAGTTGTTCATCATGGGATCGAGGGCCAAGTACTGAAAAAAGAAGGAAAGGAGAAAACATCAAAAACTGCAACGAAAATCAAGACGAAGTATGACTCTGCATCTATGTTCCGAGTGGCAATGCTGATAAAGTTGCTCTGTATGAGAGTCCACAACCAAACTCTTTTACATCTGTCGAGAATGTATCACTCCTGAGTTCAAGATAATATTATAATGAGATAAATTAAGCCCCATGGCAATACTTAGATTTGCCGAGTGCTTCTTCCCCCACCCATTCATTCCTCTTCTATAGATAAGCGTGTCTGCAAACTTCATGCACTTCTTCAGTGAAAGTACCAGGTTTACCACCACCATCATCACTGCAGCCATCACGGTCTGACTCGCTTTATTCCATGACAAAGCCTGCTTCTAGTGTAGTGCACCCGCACCGACCGGCACCGGTCTCCCGGCGGTGACGTGCAGAGGGTTCTTAGCGCATGCGATAAATTTTTACCGTTTCTAGACGGTTTTAAACTAGCTGCAGAAACCGTTCGTTAGGGTTTTTAGTTTAACCTAGTACGCGATCAATGAAAGGTTTCCGAATCGGGTTATAAACACTACGGCACTGCATAATTATACGGAAAGCTTTACGGTGAAATTGCGCATGGTCTATTATAGTAGCTATATACGCTTACACACGCTGCGTGGTTGGTTGGCCAGCCTGATCGATCGCTGCCTAACCACTGCCATGCCAGCTGCCTGGTGGACCACGACAGACGAGCTGAAAGCGTAAGGTAAGTACTGTTCTGCTCCATGCTCACCCGTTGTGCAATATACAGTACGCATGTAACGGCGACAGGTAGCTCGGTCTTGCTTCACGAAAGGAAAGCAGTGCGCTGGCAAACCCCAAGTTGGGTCGCTCCCGCTCGCCAACCATGATGTTCACCATTCTTCGAGTTATACAATCGCTCTTCATGAACCCCCTTGTCGCGCATGCGCACGAAGGACACAAAACGCTCGTATACAAAAGAGGGCGTTTATCACTCCCGGGCAGCATTTCATCGACTAGTGGCGTGCCATGAACATTATCTTGACCGTGGTACTTTTCACTGCAGTGGCAGTGTCCGTAAGCGCCGAGGAAACCCTCTCATGTACTGATAACCTCTCCTGTCCACGGACGGACCCCGATACCGAGACTCTCCAGTGCATTTTCACTTCTCAACTCTGCGACGACACTGAGCTCTGCTCCGGCGGTCAAGACGAAGGAGAAAACATTGCTTCGCTCGACTGTAAGCAAAATCATAACACTATAGGTTACGGTTGCAGCTTCGATCACTTTGTTTCTGCACCAGGTACAAATGACGTGTTCACGTGTAAGACTGGAGAGACGGTGGGTCTAAGTGATCTATGTGACGGCGAGGCAGACTGCTCCAACGGCAGAGACGAAACTTCTCCTCTGTGTGAAAGTAAGTAATTGGAACAGCTCACTCTTTCATTATGAGGGAAATACAAGAGAGAGGGGGAGGGCTTCTGAGGGCTTCACGACATACATACTCTAAACAAAATAGACTGAGGCAACAACTCTCAATATGCGAGTTAGCTGATGCACACTGAGTCGTGCGTAGGAGCACAACATAAAGAAATGATAGGACCGTGATGGAAATTTTATAAGATACATTGTACCAGAAAAATAGCTACATACAGTTGAAAAATTAGCAAATGGCTACGATACTGGATAACAAGTATCTCTAGAGTAGCTAGCATGGCAAAGCCATGCCTGCCTGGCCTTAAGAACCAGGGGTCTTTTAGCAGCAGTGAACTCTCCCCACTCACCCACACCTTTCTCATAGTGTAACCGCCCATTGTAAAATGCATGCAGGTTCACGGAAAGTATATACACCCACTTCAGACCTCAACATAATTTTGAAAAGTGCTTTAAGTAAAGACCGTCACAGGAAATACAGCCAGGGCCCTAAGAGCTTTAGCTGTTTAATAATTGTCATTGGGTGTGCAGTCATGCATGGAATGTGTCTAATTTAACCTCGGGGGAATTTCTGCCACGTGTGAGTGTGTGGGAGTTCACACTTTTGCACAGGATGAATTCTCTTGCATCTCTGACCCTCTGGAAAGTCCCTTTGCTTTCTGTCATCATATCACCCTTTAGTATATATACCTGTTTTGCACATCATTATGCAGTGGCGGATCTATGCTTGTTCTTTTATACTCTAGAGTACCTGTTTTGCATAATGCAGAGCATATATAGGCAAGTAGTGCGTGGCTGCAATGAGCTAGTTTAGTTGACTTAAAATGTCTATAAAAAAGTGATTGCTAGTACAACATTCTCTCTTCATACATGATTGTTGTTTAGTATGTTAACAAACCAGTAACAATACCTACTCTATCTTATTTGTTTGTCGTACATATGTATATAATTATACATGACCATAAGTGTCATAGATGGTGCTGCTTGTGTCTCAGACAAATGCAGGGCTCCATACAAAGGAGGTTGTGCAGAGTTGAATCGTGAGTGCTCCTACACTGAACTGGATGCTAGTTGTGACGAATGCATTGCTGGCTACACTGAGGTGGTCGGCTACTGTGTTCAAGGTCAGCTAAAACTTTTTAAAATCAATGAGGCTTGTTATTAATATACTTATCGTCTCCCTGTACCTAAAGGACTAACACTTGGGACGGAGAAGTCTCTCTACTCAGTAAAGGAGGATGAAGGTTCACTGGAGGTCTGTATAGACGTGTTGCTGGGCAGTATATCCTCTGGAGACACCTACACTGTTAGCTACACCACCGTCAATGGTGCTGCTCAAGGTAGTTCACTGGTAGTGTTACCTTTGTCTGTTAGTATCCCTAACTGCTAGAGTAGCATACGGTGGGCAGTTTGGTTGAAAAGGCTAAGGGCCATGCCTTGATGTGGAAAACTTGGGACCATGATTGACAGTTTCCTAGCTCAGGGTTTACCAGCATGGGTAGCTAACTGTCAGCCATCAATGCAAGTACGTAGCTATGCAAGAGTGAGTTGACTTAAAGCACAGAATAGTGCTCAATTATTCTCATGGAACCAGCGTCACCCTATAAAGAGGGGCTGGCGCTGTGAGTTATGTCGGCATAATATTGGTGCTGGAAGAGAGACGTAGATGACTCAAGACGGATCTGAGCATGTTCCATCCCTGCAGAGAAAACGTTCCGCCTACAACAGTATGTTTAGTTAGCTACCCCTCAGTACTAGACCCAAGCAAGGTGCTTATGGAGAGTAAAACCATGGCTTAAAACTTTTGACGATCATCTCTAGCATCATAATGGCACAGGTATAAAAAGGTCTTTGCTCTGTGCACATTAGTAACCAAAGCCATTGCTGGTTCTAACGGTAAACTCCCCATAATGCGCAGCAATGTTATGAGAGATCACTGTCAACTGTTTTAAGCACAGGATATCTTCAGCCTGTGTCCTGTCCACAGTCTATTCCTACGTTTGTAGTGACCAAGAAGCCTCAAAGCACATGCCTTTCTCTTTTAACCTTACAACATACTTTCATTCAGCAATCTATTTCGTTATGGAACTGTTTACCTGCTGAATCTGTCACTGCCACTTCATTTTCTCTTTTTAAGCATTACACACTTCCTTTGTTAATGTAAAGGTGCACTTCATTATTAGCAGTATGCTGCTATTGGTGTATCCTTGGTCTTAGTATAAATATACCGAATCATTATAAAAGAAAAACACTATCTTATTTCAGCTCCTGATGACTACCTGGAACAGTCTGGATCAGTGGACCTCACCTCCTCGGCTACAAAGCAGTGCATATCAATTCCCATTGAGGACGACGCGATTGACGAGTCGGATCAGGAGTGCTTTGTACTCAGTATGTCTGAGTCCTCTGGCAATGCTAATGTTACTGTTAGTCCTCCGACTGTTACAGTCTGCATAAACGACACCGATGGTGAGATTTCTACAGTGGAACTTTCGAACAGGGGACACCATGGGGCTAACAATTCTGTCACTTGTAGAGAGTTCCCTATCTTGGAGGTCAAATAGGTCAAATATAACAATAAAGTATTAGCATGGAAGTGTCCTTTGTAGAGAGGTCGTCCCAGGTAAAACCATGTATGAAGTATTAGCACCTAATAATTATAATAACCTTTTACTTTATTGTTGACACATTATATTGTCTGTGGCTTGAGAATAATATACATGCATGCGGCCACCTGTGAGATTTATTAACATGTCATGAATTCATTCTCCATACACTTGTTGCAGAGTCAGCCCTGGTGGTAGGGCTGGAGGAGACAGCCTATACAGTGGATGAGGTGGACAGCTATCAGCTGGTGTGTGTTGGAGTCCTATCGGGAGATGTGGATGGACGAGAAATATCACTCTCCTACTCTACCACCAGTGGAACTGCTTGTAAGTACAATCTATAACAACTGATTGTGGGTGAAGTTTGGAATCCACTTACTTACATACAGAAATGATATGTACTTATATCCGCTTTCTAAATTTTTTGAATCTTGTGTGTACATTTTGCGGGCGAGCTGTAAACCTACCTACTGTGACCTTAAAAAGATAAAGGGCCATTAGCTAACTTAACGTACTAGCCTTTTCTATTACTGATGTGCAGCATCAGGCAATGACTATACGTCTGCCAGTGGCGAAGTCACCATTGATGACGACACAACTCGTCAGTGTATCTCCATCATGATTCGAACTGACTCTGTAACGGAGAGCAAAGAGTGTTTCACATTCAGCATATCACTAGAGAACACTGTCACCAACCTCACGGTTGACCCCGACGAGACCAGCGTCTGTATCATTGACAAAAACTGTGAGTTACCTCACTTAATCATTATGCAACATTTTATCTGTAAAAAGTGCTAGTTTTCTGAAAGAATTTCACTAAAAAGTAAAAAGCTACCTCACAAAAAAATCATGCAACTTCTTTTTTGTATATTAATCATAATATCTGTAATAGTCCGATTAGTGCCAGTTTCCTGAAAGACTTCCATATATACAAAAGCTGAGAAAAGCCTTTGATTCTATTGTTTGTCAAACATGGTGTCTTTCGTGCAGCTATACCAATAACCATTGGTCTCACTCAAGCCCTCTACACTGTGGGGGAGAGCTCTGGCTCACTCACAGTGTGCTACGAAATCCTATCTGGAAGAACTGCTACTAGAAGTATCGGTATGACCCTCAAAACCGTACAAGGGGATGCTGTAGGTAAGACTTAATACTATGTGACGAAGCTTAACGTAACTGAATCTTTTGCAATACTCATTTTCAGAGGATGAGGACTACACTTACAGCTCTTCTTCTGATACACTAGACGACAACGACTCATCAGATTGTGACAGTATCCCTATCCTGACGGACACCCTGGATGAAGAGGAAGAGTGCTTCACTGTCAGTCTCTCTACTACCACTACATATCTATCTGGACTCACCATTAGCCCTCATATTGGGACAGTCTGCATCACAGATGATGACCGTGAGCTCTACTTCTACAACTGAATCAAACACTTTTTAACACTTAACAAGCCACAGACACATGAATATGTCCAGAGCTTCCATAAGTCCATTAAGGGTTATAATACTAGGTGGTAGAGTTACAAGACTCTCTGCTCATTTTAAGGAGTTATCCATGGCGTCGTAAGGGGTTAAACGCTTTGCTGTTACAAACTGCAAGGTCTTGGCCATTGGATGTAAATAGCTGATAGAGAAGCTATAGCCCAGTTAGCTATATCCCCAGCCAACACAACAAGACAGATTTCTACAGATCCCTCCACAGTAGAGTAGGACTGCTGTAACCCAATAGTCAGTGATTCAGTAGAAGAATATGTTAAGGAGATACCAGTTGCACAATGCTTGCTTTTTTGGTTAAAACAGCTACATCAGTGACCATAGGTCTCCAGGAGACATCCTACTCAGTGTATGAGACTGATGAGTATCAGGTGGTGTGTGCAGAGGTTCTGTCTGGAGACATTGCTGGGCGGAGCATCGACATCAACTACATCACTGAGAGTGACACTGCTGATGGTATCTATACCCAGTGACTATCTAGAAATTCTTGTGATACTAATGTATTCCCAGAAGAGTTCAATAGTAATCGTAGTACCTCTCCCCCTCAAGGCTGCAGGTGACTAGAAATCAATTAAAAAATGAGATTTATAGTCTATAAGCCGTGATGTCACTTCTTCTATTTCCTTGAATTCCACGCATCACTATAAGCTAGCTAGATGTACCTTGTTGTAGCATATTTATGTGGTCCTAAGCCAAGGTATTTACGAACCTAAGATACGACATTATTGGATTGGTGAGCAGACAATCGAATCACTGTAAGTATACACAGTATAGTGTAAAGTATGGGAGTCAAGCATGTGTAGGTGTCTTTCGAAAGGTATTTAAGGCATGCTTGATGACGATTCCATATGAGTTCTAAAACTGGTCCTCAAACTAGACTAACTGGACTAGCCACTTCCCATTACTAAACACTATACACCGATGCATTATCTTTTTGTTGTACTACTTACCAACAATTTGTTGCCTTGCATGTGAGTAAATTTCATACATCATTATCTAACCTTATTTATAGCAACAAGCGACTTCGTAGCACTCAACGACAGCCTCACTCTGAGTGACGATGCCCTCATCCAGTGTGTGCCAATTGACATAGTCTCTGACAGTGTGGCTGAATCAGACCAGGAGTGCTTCTCATTCTCTCTCTCCACCCCCGGGACAATTGGGGGACTTACTTTGAGCCCCTCTGAGGCTAAAATCTGCATTTCAGACGAAGAAGGTAAGCATTATGTCATTGATTAAGTGTTTTGCGCTTTATTACAGATTAATGCAGTAAGAACAATTCTAATTTTAAAAGGAATGTGTCAGTACTTAAGGGCTAAACTTAGAAATGTTACTAAAGATCAATATGATCCCAGTGAAAGAATGCGCTAATTACTATAATTTTAACAGTTTCTAAACTTAGCTTTTATACTCCCACACCCCCAAGTAGTTTTAGCAGCATCGTAGTTCGATTGTGTTGCTATATAGCAGTTCCTGTGGGTGAAGTTCAGTATCACATAATAATTATGACGAAAGAAAAATATGACATTCAGTGGAGGTGATACCTGATCTGGTGGTTCACTGGGAGGAGAGGTATTACTCTGTTGGAGAGGGAGATGGGAGTGTGGAGGTGTGTGCAGAGCTCTCCACTCTTCAGTTCACTGGGACTGTGGAGGTGGACTATGCCACTGTGGCAGATAGTGCTGAAGGTATGGAGTTCAGCTATTCAGTACGTACTAGAGGAATGCACAATGTATTATTGTTGAGCGAAGCGAGCATTTCAATATTTCACACGTTTTAGCACACTATTGAGAAATGGTTATGTTGGTCCGTGGTTCCGTTCACAGTTACATAAATTCTGCATTCAGACGCTTAGGTGGGCTTGCTTCGCCAATTATTGGGTATAAGAGAACCATTCCAGTTAATGAGTGTGTGTAAGTGCTAGGTGGATGCTTTCCTAAGGGATTACCTGCAATTAATCCAGGCATCTAGCTCTCATGCTCTGACCGCTTCAAAAAGGTGTGTATTAGTAAGTAGAGACAGATCATCTCTACCACCGTTTTCTATGTGGATTATTACAAGATTTATGGTGATAGTACACACAGATTATCACCTCTCATAATGTGTGGTTCATTTCATAATGTGTTTCATGATTGTACTAATGATATCCTTTTTCTAGTGACCAATGATTTCACTGAAGCAAGTGGCACATTATCATTCTCCAACACTGACTCCACCGAGTGTGTAACAATAGACCTAGTGGATGATAGCACTAGTGAGCCAAGTGACGAGTGCTTTACACTGCAGCTGTCGGACGGAACAGAGACCATTGATAATCCCAGCATTGCCACTGTCTGCATCACTGATGACGATGGTTAGGAACACCTACAGTTACCTCTTTTACTTTTTAAAATGTTTAACAAGGTAAAGCGTTCTGCATGTGTTGAATACTATAGCTGATATCTATACCAGTCCATTACTTCATAGAAGTGGTGGTCATGTACGGTGGCCAACAAGTGCCCGTATCTATGTGTTAGTGCCCTGCGTTGTGAACACAAGGGAGCAGGTTAGAAACCCACCTTTTCTCTCCGCCTCATTGTTTTAGATGCTCAATCCCTTACTTCATTAACCGACAGAACTTATCTGCAAAACTGTAGCATATTCAGTGACTGTGGGGTTTGAGCAGACGGCCTACACGGTGACTGAAATTGATGGCTATCAGTTGGCCTGCTTCAAGGTTCTGTCTGGAGACATAGCTGGCAGAGAACTTGCATTTGACTACTCCACATCCAGTGGCACTGCCAGTAAGACATTCATGCCTTATCTGTACAACAGATACAGTATGGATTTCGTCCTTAGCCACAAGTGATTACACTTCTACGACTGGAAAGGCAACCATAACAGAAGATGCCCTCCGTCAGTGTGTATCCATTCCCATCAAAACCGACTCCGTTACAGAGACAACTAATCAGTGCTTTACCTTCAAGATAACATCATCTTCCACTGTGGATGGTTTGACTGTTAGCCCAAGTCAGACTGAAATCTGCATCGTTGATAAAAACTGTGAGTTCTGTAACACTAAGGTAAGGGCGGGTAGTTCGGAATACAAATTCGGTTCTGTCTACAAAACAAGCCGAGACGAGGATCTGCCAAACGTTTACTAGGGCTTATACCAGTGGTAACAGTGATTACTATACATCTCTAAAGGCTCTGACAGAAGCGGCCACCCAATACGTTTTCCGAACTGAAACTCATTCTGAATACACCGCCCTTACCTTTTATCTAAATGTGTTGATATCGAAAAGTTCTTTTACCTTTTCAGCTATACCAATCACCATTGGTCTTACAAAGAGCCTCTACTATGTGAATGAAAGTGATAGCTCTTTAACTGTTTGCTATGAAGTGTTGTCTGGACGAACTGCTACCAGATCCATCAGCATGATACTTCAGACTGTTCAGGGGGAAGCAATAGGTGTGTGTGTGTGTGTGTGTGTGCAGATGTGTGTGTGCACATGCGTTACACTAATTTGCCTTGTGTCATTTAGTTCCTCCCCTGGCAGCTTTTTTCCGTTAATGATTAAATATGGCTGGTTGGTAACGGTACTGACTAGTAAGTACTATGAATTGTGGAAGGCTGGGTTATACAAGAGGATAATATTATTATCAGTTAGGAAGATATTTGATAGTTACTACTCTGTGTTGTTGTTTTTGATGCTGTGGCTGTGTATACTGGACATGATCTATGTAAAAATGTGTGGTCGAATGCTTAAGTACTACGTATGTGTTATACAGAGGATGTGGACTACACAGACATCTATCGCACAGACTCATTGGATGATTCTGACAGGGATGAGTGTGTTTCAGTGTCAATTCTCTCAGACAGTGAGGATGAAGAGGAAGAGTGTTTCACAGTCAGCCTCAGCTCCTCGACATATCTTGTTGGACTCACTCTCAACCCCAGAATTGGAACTGTCTGCATCATTGACGACGACGGTTAGCTCTGCACTAGAGTGTGTACTACTAGAGCCTGTTAACTCCGTACACCTATGCAGCTACATCAGTGACCATAGGTCTCCAGGAGACGTCCTACTCAGTGTATGAGACTGATGAGTATCAGGTGGTGTGTGCAGAGGTTCTGTCTGGAGACATTGCTGGGCGGAGCATCGACATCAACTACATCACTGAGAGTGACACCGCTGAAGGTTGTGTGTTTGGCTAAGGAATGCCTTAAATTACTGATTAACCAGATATCTACTGTAATTTTGGCTCCTAACTTGTGTACTCTGTTTTGTACTGATCTTTTTCACTCAGTATGTATTTTTCACTCTGACTGCTCTTTTTCACTCTGTATTTTGTATTGCGGCTCTTTTAACTCTGTATAGTTTGCATTCTGCTCTTTACTTTAGATCCAAATGACTACACTGCTCTAAATGACAGCTTCCAGATCAGCAGCAATGCTCTGCTGCAGTGTGTACCAATATCCATCACATCTGACAGTGTTGAGGAGACTGGACAAGAGTGCTTTAGCTTCTCTCTTTCAACTGCGACCACCATTAGTGGACTGACACTGAGTCCCTCTGATGCAGAAATATGTATATCTGATGCAGAAGGTAGGTGCATTTTAAGTCGCTGGCTGAATACCAAAAGTGTTAGGTATAAAGCAAAGAAGCAGGGTTCTTATCCTTCTATTTTAATCCTTCCCTTGTTTATGTCTTTCTTAAAGTGGAATAAGTATATACACTACGCGCAATATAGTGTTTTTGAAGTTGTGACCTTAATTTTAAAGCTAAGTAACATGTCTCAAATTCAGCGCGCACCCTTATAGATTTCCCATTGTGTGTCATAGACTGCTGATTAAGAGCCTTGTCCTCCACAGTGGTCGTGGTACCAGATCCAACAGTGCGCCTCAACACCAGCTACTACTCCGTTGGTGAAGGTGACGGGAGCATAGAGGTGTGTGCCCATGTCACCACCGACCAGTTTAACAACACTATCCAAGCTGACTACGTTACATCTGCAGGAAGTGCCTCAGGTAGATACCACTCTCTAAGACAATTAATAGCATATTTGACATAGTTCCTTGTACAGCTGTGTTTTTCTATGTAGGTCAACACATCTATTATTGAGTGTATTTGTTTTGAATTAATATATATTATTTATGTGCCTATAAGCATCACTGTGTTTGCATATACAAAATTAGCATCTCGGTGATCATTTAACAGTATCAGAACAACTGTTTCTCTCAGATCCAGAAGATTATGATGGAGTTAGTGGAACACTGTCCTTTACAAGTGATGCCACAGAGTCATGTGTGACAATAACTGTTGAGGATGATAGTACCAGGGAGTCTGTCCCAGAGTGCTTCACCGTTGCTCTGCTGGATGTCACTGGGGCAGACTTTGAGGAACCCAGGATTGCCACTGTCTGCATTGAGGACAATGATGGTGAAATTTTAAGGCACTACAGGACTTTGGCTGACTTTGTAGCATTCATTCAGCATGCCCTATATTAAAAAAATGCATAGGTAAAGGAAAAGAGTGTGTCATCATTAGAGATAATGAGCTATGTATATAGGCACATAAGCACTGGCAAGGATAGCCTTTATGGCAAAGAGTGTTTATCTTTCACAAGCATCCATGTAGCAATCTTTAACTTCCTTTTCTAATCATTGCTGAAAACATTTTATTCGTTCAGTTCGGCCAAAACTGTAACTTGTTCTGTTAGTTAAAATATTGTCTATGCAGGTTATTCACTATAGCCAGGCACAAATAATAATGTTAAAATGGCATGTAGCAGCATGTAATAGTTTGTTTCTCCAGTGCTCCCAGTGACTATTGGAATGGAGCAGACTGAGTACACAGTAGGTGAAGTTGATGATTACCAGTTGGTCTGTTTTGGAGTACTTTCTGGGAATATTGACAGTAGAGAGATTGTCTTTGACTACACCACAGCCAGTGGAACTGCAGGTGGGACACATGTCAAACGCATGATATTTTTACAAACCCTCACTTTAATGGGGGATACTTTCGGATGGTTTGAGCTCACTTTCTCTCTATGTACCTATATGTATTTGTGGAGTCCTGTACCTCTCTTTTTAACTCTTTTTCTTTCTTCATGAGAAAACGTGAGCTGTTACGGGTAATGTCGCAGTATATTATTATAAGGGCTAAATTTAGAAATTGTTACAGAAAATGGAGACATAATTGCATACTTGCACGTGTCCTATTGTTTAGTTCTATCTTTAGTAATATTTCTAAATTTAGTTAGCTTTTTTGTATATACTGAGACATTCCCTTTATGTTTACATGGATCATAACCTCTTTGTGTTTTACTTATTCTTCTAGATACAAGTGATTACTCCAGTAGAAGTGGAGAAGTATTGATATCAGAGGATGCTCCAGTGCAGTGTGTCTCCGTTCCCATAAGGAGTGACAGCATCACTGAGAGTGAACAGTGTTTCACCTTTGAAATAACTGCTAGAGGTTCCACCAGTGGACTTACAGTTTCACCCTCTGGGGCAGAGATATGCATCACTGACCTTAGCTGTAAGTGTAATACTTAACACTTTTATACTTATTACCCCATGCGTACATGTGTCTCTAGAAGAGGTAATGCAATAGGTGTCGGTGTCTATATGTTATTATCTCTGGTCGAAAAAACTGAATGTGCCTCAGAAGACAAATTAGCTACCAGTTTAAACTTGGATAGCGGAACTCTTCTTTAACCAACGATTATCCCAGGAGTGGTTTGGGTGCGAGGTCTATGGCCCTAGTGCTACGGCAGCCACCTGAGTATTATTATCTCAGGAGTGGTAGCATTTACGGTACACTAGCTACTCGAGGCTAGATTACAGACATGCACCTGGTTGTATACCTAGGCATGTGTTACAGAATTGTGCGTAGGGTATATGGGTACTTTTGAACTCTGTGTACTATGCATGCAGCTATACCAATCACTATTGGTCTGAAGAAGACGCTCTACAATGTCAGTGAAGATGCTGGCTCGGTTCAGGTGTGCTATCAAGTGATGTCTGGTAAAACAGCAACCAGGTCCATCAGCATGCAGCTCAGAACTGTCCAGGGAGATGCAACAGGTATCTGTAGTTGCCAACTGTCCTGGAATGGCTGGAACTGTCCCGAAATTATGAGAATTGTCCCGGTTATGTCCCAGTGAAAGCTAAATACTGAGAATGCCCCCCCCCATTTCCGCTCACCTTCACCTTTATGGTAACTACTGCCAAAACTGCATGTCTTTAAATTTGAAGTCAGATTGAACGATGATTACAACTTTGTTCTTATACAGAGGGAGAGGACTACACGTACAGCTACTCATCAGACTCATTAGACGACAACGACTCTTCAGACTGTGACAGTATCCCTATCCTGACAGACACCCTGGATGAAGAGGAAGAGTGCTTCACTGTTAGTCTCTCTACCTCCTCGTATTATAATGGACTCACTATCAACCCACACATTGGAACAATCTGCATCAATGATGATGATCGTAAGCATCAGTATCATTGCTACAAGTATGTAATGCAATACTCATTGTATCTCTTTCTTGTAGCTACTCTGATTGAGATTGCTCTTGAGAAGACCGAGTATACCACTCATGACAATGCTGAGTATCAAGTTGTGTGTGCCAATGTTGAGTCAGGATCTGTTGGTGGTAGAAACATTGAGATTGACTACACTGTGGAAGACAATGGTATTGCTAATCAGTATTCAAACAGTAATAACTTAGTATCTCCAAAATATTTCACAGCTAACGCACAGACTCAGAATGGAACTCTGCTGTTCAGTGATGATGCCACCATACAATGTGTGGCAGTGTCAGCCTCATCTGTCAGTGCTGGCTCCACTGATGAGTCTTGTCTCACTCTCACTCTCTCTCCCACCACCACTGTCACTGGCCTCACCATCAGTCCTGATGTAGCCACTGTGTGTGTCACTTCTGCAGATGGTAAGTCTTAGTTTATACAGCTAAATATATCTCTATGCTCCTCCACTCTTAGACATACAATTAACGATTGGACTGGAAAAGGGTTTCTATTCCACTGGAGAAGATAGTGGTGATTTGGAAGTGTGTGTCGAGGTCAAATCAGGGGATATTGCTGGACGTAGCATCTCAATAGAATATACCACATTGGATGGATCAGCAAATGGTAGCTCCTACCATTACAGCTATACAGGATAGCTTTACCTACTTCTTCCATGCCGTTCTTAGCTCCGGGTGATTTTACCGAAGTCAGTGGTACACTGACAGTCACAGAGGATGACACTGATCAGTGTCTCACCATCACCATTGTCAATGACAGTCAAGATGAGGATGATAGAGAGTGCTTTGCTCTGGCCATATCTACTTCCAGTTCCGTGTCACTAGAAACAACCCAAGCTACAATCTGTGTCACTGATAATGACGGTAAATTGCATACTGAAACATAAGGTCAATCTCATTCTTAACATGTTTCTCTCTCTTAGCTACTCAAGTTGAAATACGTCTGCAAAGGACTTCGTACACAGTAACTGAGGACGATGCCCTTGTCCTGGTGTGTACTGAGGTTGAATCAGGCAGTGTTGCTGGAAGAACCATCAATATCAACTACCAAACTGCTAATGACGGTGCAGTAGGTACGTAACTATCGACATAATATTATGTACATTGTGGACAAGTTCATGTCATACTAATCACCAACTGCAGCTCCTAGTGACTATACATCTGCCAGTGGAAATTTTGACATGACAGACACCAACACAGTCCAGTGTATTCCAATATCAATCATATCAGACAGTGTCACTGAAACTGACGAGGAATGCTTCACATTCACCATATCTACCACTTCCACTTCTCCTGGTCTCACTCTCAGTCCTACCTCTGCCACCATCTGCATCAGTGGAGAAGGAGGTTTGAAATGATTATTATGCTCTCATAACTAACTCTATATGTTTGTTACCTAATGCCACAGATCCTTCTAGTGAGCCACTGACTATAGGGTTACAGCAGTCCTATTACTCTACTGTGGAAGGCTCTGGCCCCGTAGAAATCTGTCTTGTTGTGTTGTCTGGTGATATAACTGGCAATAGCTTCTCCATCAGCTATTCTACATCCAATGGCCAAGCTCAAGGTATACACATTGTATTTTGCAACTGCAAAGTTTTAGGGAGCCATAGGTAAAACTGAGTTTCTGCTTAAGCTTAAAATTATTAGCACCCCTATTTAAATATTCCCTATTAGCCCCCTTATTTAATTTCTTACAGGCTTGTGGAAGCTCCGGACACGTGTCCGTGACTGCATGGTTAAGTGTCAGCTTATAGCTCATAATTGTTTGAGTTAGCCTGGCTCTTTGCACACAAAAGGCATAAAGTTAACCTAAATAAAGTATCTGTAAGAGAAATGTCCACAGTGGTCTTTATGTATCACACAGCGCCAGGAGACTATGTGGCAGAGACAGGGTCATTCACAGTATCAGACTCGTCAGAGTGTGTCTCCATCTCCATTCAGTCAGACTCGGTGTCAGAGCCAGGACTGGAGTGTTTCCTAGTCTCCTTCTCCACGTCCGACACTGGCTTCACCCTCAAGTCTCCCAGTGTTGCCACCGTCTGTATTAGAGATGGTTGGTACAGAGTTGTAGTTAGATGACATAAATATAGTACTAATAAGGTATTGGGTAGTTATTTCAGATGGGCATAACGTATTTAGCACAACTTACACCTTTGTCACTACGCCCAATGGAGTGTGCGTACTGGCATGTTTAACTGGCATGATAACTAGTGACACAACGGGTAACAACCACAAAAACATTGTACATTGCTAGAAATTTGCATTGGGTGTGTGTCTGCCCTCGAACAATAAAAACAGCTGTGAAATTGTGAAACATCTACGTCATTCTTACAGCATTTTACATATTATTATCCTGCAGCTGTGATAACAACTCCAGTAACTATTGGCCTTCAAGAATCGCAGTACACTGTGACTGAGTCTGAGGACTATCAGTTTGTGTGTGCTGAGGTTCAGTCAGGAGACGTGGCTGGGAGAGATATTGAGATTGACTTTGTCATAGATGATTCAGGTATTGTGTCAATGTCTCAAGTAGTTTTGAAGTGTTACATAGTGAAGCAAGCCTACCTAGTCATCTTATTGCGATTTTTTTTTGACGAGCACTGCACATACCGTAATTCTTTATGTGATTCTAAGTATGCGCACAAAAATGGAAGTAGTAACATTCGCTCAACCACAATATTTATTCTAATGTATATAACTCATTTTACCAGATGGAGCTATGACTCAGAATGGAACTCTGCTGTTCACTGATGATGCCACCATACAATGTGTGGCAGTGTCAGTCTCATCTGTCAGTGCTGGCTCCACTGATGAGTCTTGTCTCACTCTCACTCTCTCTCCCTCCACCACTGTCACTGGCCTCACCATCAGTCCGTCTTTGGCAACCATTTGCAAAGTTCTAGCAGAAGGTAATAACTATTAACCACAGTATAGTTGTATCAAACAAAATTATCTCTGCTAGAGCTGGATAATACGGTGACCCTAGGATTACAGAGGAGTTACTATTCTCCTGAAGAGGATAGCGGTTCACTGCAAGTGTGTGTGGAGGTTGTATCAGGAGAGGTTTCGGGCAGAACTATAACACTCTCATATGAAACAATTGATGGAACTGCTACAGGTAGATGGTTATGGTTATAGAAGATGTGTTTGTACTGCAGATTGGCAATGAGATGAACATTGTAAGATTGTCATGCTAGTGCACTGTAATATGCCATCTTTGGAGCAACATCATCTACTGATAATATATTACTGGAGACATTAATGGTCTGTTTTTTCCTTGTTTCACAGCCCCAGGAGATTTCACGGAGGAGAGTGGCTCTCTTACTGTTACTGAGGATGGAAGTGTAGAGTGTGTCAGCATAACTATAGTCAATGACATTGAAGATGAAGAAGATATGGAGTGCTTTGCCTTCTCTATCTCGACTACTACCTCAGGCAGTGTTTCATTGGATATCTCGCTGGCTACAATATGCATCATAGACAATGATGGTAAGTGTTAGTTGTTGCCTGGGCCCTGTGCCACATAGGATTTGTTGGCACAGCTAATGCTCGAGGTGTATGTTACAACTGTGCAAACATTATCCCATAGTCACGAACGAAACCTCCCCCAAGTTTTTTTTTTTTGTCAAGCCCGGGAAGCTGTATATACTACTCTTGACAAGGAAGTGTGATGTAGCTAGTTGCACACTTCTATTTCTAGTAGACCAAAAGGTTTTCAAAAGATGTGTCATAACCATTTCTCTTGCAGTTACTGATGTTGCAATTGGTCTGGAGCAAACAGTGTATTCTGTGACCGAGAGTGACAGCTTTGCTCTAGTTTGTACAACTGTTTTGTCAGGCAGCATTGCTGGAAGAACTCTTAGTATTGGGTACCAAACAGCTGAGGACAGTGCTCTGGGTAAGAACCAACAATATCACATAATTATTACTTAAGCATCTAGATGTGACGGAGCTGGGCGCTGAGGAGTTACTGTTCTTTCAAGTCAATATTATAGCTAGAGACAAATAGCGAATATAGAATCTCTCTCTATCCTCCATGACTGGTGACCTTTAGCACAAACAGCCTGATGGCTAAGACGATACAGAGTATATAGGAAAGTTACATGAACTCTGAAAAACACAGCAGAGCATGCACAGTGGGAAAATCACACACATTACGACTGATCACACAGAACATGCATAGATAACAAACAAACACAGGGAATGTGCATAACCTGTCCTTCACAATGCCACAGCTTCAGATGACTACACAGCAGTCAGTGGAAACTTTGACATGACAGACACCAACACAGTCCAGTGTATTCCAATATCAATCATATCAGACAGTGTCACTGAAACTGACGAGGAATGCTTCACATTCACCATATCAACCACTTCCACTGCTCCTGGCCTCACTCTCAGTCCTACCTCTGCTAGTGTCTGTATCAATGAAGGTATTTATGAAGCTTGGTTAGAAAAATGCTAACACATGGATATGTTTCTAACCACACCTAATACTGGTCCACTTCGGAAGTGTATGAGTGAAAATAACATTGAATCTAGAAATTGTTGGCTTAGTTCGTTCAATTGCTACATCAGCTTTAGTACAAAATTTCGACATGCTAGGTATTTCCCTGAAAAGAGAATAACTTCAGACACTGTTTCCTACTATTTTAGTGGCAAGTGAGGCAGTTACTATTGGATTGCGGCAGTCTTACTACTCAACTGTGGAAGGCGAGGGACCAGTGGAGATATGTATTTCTACCGTCTCTGGTGACTTTGAAGGCAGCAGCTTTAGTGTCAGCTATTCCACAACAAGTGGCCAAGCTGAAGGTATCTTTATTACCTGAACCGATTCTTATAAGTGACCTTTTCATTCTATAATGAAGCTCCTAGTGACTATGTGGCAGTTAGTGGGTCGGTTGAGATATCAGAGTCGCAGACTTCCCAGTGTGTCACAGTCTCTATTGTGACTGATTCGGTGGAGGAAGGGGAAGAGTGTTTCCTGGTCAGCTTTTCCTCCTCTTCCTCTGACTTCACCCTCCAGTCTCCCAGTGTGGCCGCTGTCTGCATCAGAGACGGTTAGTCTCATTACTAGCTCTTTAGTCTCATTCATAGACCCATCTGGCGTTATAATGGGACAATTGATTTGCATTGTGTTTTGCTACGTTTCTATCCAGCACCATCGACAGCTGCAGTTGTTATAGGACTACAGGAGTCCCAGTACACAGTGTTGTTTCAGACTTCTGATTCTCAGTTTGCTTGTGTTGAGGTCCTATCAGGAGACGTTGCTGGAAGAGAAATCATGATAGACTTTTCCGTTGAAGACTCAGGTAAGTACGTTCAGTGGATTATATCAGCTCACCTTTCATTTTTTAACATGTGGTTATGGACAGCAAGTGCAGTATACATGTGCACATATCTGTTCTACATGTTTTTCTCTTAGCAAAAAGTATACCAGTTTAGGAATGCGATATAGACTTGTTGGAATTAGCTCTTGACTATACATCTCATGGGTTGCTGCATAGAATCAATGCATAACCTATGATAAGATTTACCACATTGCCACATAATTTGGCCATGTTTTTTCAGCTAACACACAGACTCAGAATGGAACTCTGCTGTTCACTGATGATGCCACCATACAATGTGTGGCAGTGTCAGTCTCATCTGTCAGTGCTGGCTCCACTGATGAATCTTGTCTCACTCTCACTCTCTCTCCTACCACCAATGTCACTGGCCTCACCATCAGTCCTGATTTGGCCACTGTGTGTGTGGTTCCTATTGAAGGTAAGTAGTCAATCCAGGTATAGAACCACTTATCTCACAACTCCTTTCATCTGTTAGACACACCTGTTACAATCGGCCTGCAACACAGCTACTATTCTACTGAGGAGGATAGTGGGGTCCTTCAAGTGTGCGTAGAAATCCAGTCAGGGGAACTGGATGGAAGAACTGCATCGTTATCTTATTCTACAGTTAATGGAGCTGCAGCAGGTACTAACTTTTAAAATAAATAATGTGACGAGCCTGAGTGGACTAGAGTAAGGCCGAGCCTGCAGCAGAAATCAGTGATAGATTATATAGTTACGGATATGCAGTTGATGAGGGAATCCGGTGATGTACAGGTTAATATAACTGATATTGGTGCCTCGGATCATTTTCTAGTGTGGCTGGAGTTGGGCCGGGTTACGAAGTGTTGTAAAAGGCAGAAGCGGACAATAAGGAAGTGGCGTGTAGACAGATTTTTGGATGAGGGGGTTAGAACGAAGTATAGGGAGGCCTTGAAAGCGGAGGTTGAATCTTTTTCAGAGAGCATCAGGGAGAAAGTGAGTGAGGGTATTAGTGGAAGTGGGTTAGTCAGTGCAGTTGTAGAGGAGTGGGAGCAAGTTGTAAAAAAAGTGGCAAAGGCTGAGGTAGGAGAGAAGGTAGTAGTGTGTGGCAGGGCAGTCAGGTGGTGGGATGACGAGATTAAGCATAAGATAGAGCAGAGAAGGGAGGCTTACAAGAAAATTCTTGAGGGTCAGGATTATCTATGGGAGGAATATAGTAAACTGCGTAGGGAGGTGAAGAATTTAGTTGTTCAGAAGAAGCTTGAGGTTTGGAACGAGGTAGTGGAATGAGCAAATTTAGATTTTGAAGGTAATAGGAAAGAATTTTGGGCATTGTTGGTAGAAGGACAAAGGGTAAGAGGAGGGGGATTACAGCTTTGAGGAATAGTGCTGGGGTGTCAGTGACCAGTACAAAGGGCAAGTTGGAGGTGTTAAAGAAGCATTATCAGCAGTTGGGCACTTGTAGTGTTGATACAGCCTTTGATGATAGTTGGAAAGAGGAAGTGGATAAGAAAGTGTGTGAGTTTCCAACAGATTGTACGGAAAATGTATTGGATAGGGAAATAGATTTGGAGGAGATTGCAGTGTGTGTTAGAAAGTTGAAGAATAATAAGACTGGTGGTAGTGATGGGCTTGTGGGGGAGCTTCTAAAGCATGGTGGGTCAGGGTTGGTAGAGTTACTTAAACAGTTGTTTACAGTAATTTGGCGTGAGGAGTTTGTGCCACCAAAGTGGAGGGAGGGCACTCATAGTTAACCTGTTTAGAAGGGAGATAAGGAGGATCCTGGGAATTATAGGGGCATCACCCTGCTGAGTGTGGTTGGGAAGGTCTTTTGTAAGGTATTGAAACAATAGGTTGGTGAAGCATCTGACGAGGGCAAAGCATTGCAGAGGGCACAGCTATAGTGTTAGGTTGTGGAAGGGCGTTTGTGTGTAATATTATACGCTGAATGAAACTGGCCGGGTAGACTAAGGAGAGGGGAAGGCATCTTTCAGATGTGGCAGAAGGCATAGGATAGTGTTGGGCGTAACCGGCCTGTGGTTAAGTTGTGGGAAGGGAAAAATTTAAGTGGGGGAAGAGGAAGTGTGGAGGCTCATGAAAGAAGATGTACGAGTATTACAAAGGAAAGAGTGACTGTATTGTTGGAGGGGAAAAAAAACCACTTCAAACCAATCATAAGCGACAAAGACGCAGACGAGAAAAACAAACTTACAACAAATTAATCAAAACAGCTACAACATGAAAAAACAGCAAAAGCCAACCAAAAAGCTCAAAAGAAAAGTTAACCGAACAACAAATGCAACCATACACATAACAACTCTCTCCCATATCTCAAATAAACACCACTAGACAAGTAAAACAACAAACAGATACAAAAAATTAAAAATAAACCCTAAAGAAAGCACATATCCTAAAAATGAAGCACGATACTACCAACCCACCTTAAGTCACGACCCCACCACAAATGTCAAATCTCAAAAAAAAAGACACAAGAAACAACACACATAGAAAAGAAAGAAAGTATAAAAGTACAACGTAAAAAGGAAAGAAAAAGAAAAAAAAACGAAAAAAAAAAAAGACGCGTCATCAAACCGTGTGTAAAAAAACAAAAAAAAAAAAACGACGGTCAGAGGCAT